GGACTCTTGGCGGAAGGGGTAGAAGACGGCGCCGGAGCGGTACTTGACTTCGGCGGCGGCGAGCACGGCGACTGCGCCGGTCGGGAGGCTGAAGGCCAGGTTGGCACGGCGGTCGGCATATTCCCGGGCGGTGATGCCGGGGGTTACTGCGAGGGTTCAGCGACATTGATCGGGGTTGAAGGGGGGGGGGCCCGGGCAGATATTTACTTTCACCGGCCTTGAGGATGTGCGGGTGTGTCTCATGAACCGGTTGGCCGAACTCGAGCTCGGCGGCCGAAACAGACGTCGTATGACTCCGCCTCCATGACGGAGCTGGTATATTTGCAATAAACCCTCGGGAAGGCCGGGGTGTTTGCCGCAGAGCGGCCCGTAACAGCCTCATCCTCAAACCAAAGCGCGTGATGGATGAGCGAGGACACCTCCGGCAGCGACCTGAAAGTTGCAGTCGTCCCACTTCCAGCCACCGCCAGGGCCCAGTGAAGTGCCCTGTAAATACAGTATCCACCGCTGAAACTACTTTGTTACATTGCCTGCAGGTATTCGGCACAGTCAAAACGGGAACTTGGACGAGATCCAACGCTGCCAAACCCCATCACCGGTCCCGGATCCATGGGACGAATCGCGACATGTTGCTGCGAAACACAAACCGCCAAGGCTGCTGTGTTGCTGTGTTGCTGTTGCCAGAGTGCCAGGAGGTGGCAGGGCTGCGTTGCTGTGAGCGACAGAACGAAACAGCTGGCAGCCGCGCCTGTGGGGCGAAGTTTGTTTTGTCGCGCTCGAAGCAGGCTTAGCTCACTGGAGCTTGGACGTTTTCTGCCTGCCTCTTGAGATTGCTGGCCCGCCCGCACCACACCCAGCAAAAACCGCTCCAGAGCCCGTCAGCCGGAGCAGCAGCAACCGCTCATCTCGCAAACGCATCTCCGTCTTCTCCCTTTTGGTGTGGATCAACGACCTGTCGGCTGGGTGCTGTGGGCCATTGAGCATTCTGCGTGCTGCTCCGACGCCTCCGGGACCAGTTCGGCGCGCTGCAAGAGCCATTGGATTCTCTGTTGCTGCAAGGGACGCGTTTTTGGTGCACGCCCGCCCGCGTGTGCTCTGCTCTGCATTGCCTGTGCTTGGTTCGTCGCTGCCAGCACCCCCGACCCCTCCTCCTCCGACCCTCCCGCCGCCCGCCCTCAACCTCCCGGTGGCACCACCATCCCGGCCCACCCGCACAACAGCCGGGCTGTAGCATGTTGACTGGGCATTCGTATGGCAACAGTATTTCTATCCGCCGCCCCGGTCCAGCGCCTGCTCCCCCTTCCCGCCATGTCGACAACCAGGCGGGTCCCTCTGTCCAACAACCCCAATGCCGCCAATTCGCCCATGCGAGCCGTTACGGCCGCCGCCCATGGCGCCAAGAAGAGCCGCTCGCACGCCGAGCTGCTGCGAGAAGAGGCTTACGGCCAACCTCCGCCCGCCAAGCGACAAATGGTCGAGCGTGGAGTGGCCTCGCCCACCCGTAGCAAGACGACCCGGACCATCGTCCACCGAACCGCTTCCCGCGCCGCGGTAGGCGCCACGCAAAAGGGAAGCCAGGCCGCCGCCGCGTATACACCGACCGAGAAGGAGATTGAGCACTGGCAGCAATGGCATGCTGGCACCCGGGCTGCCTTCCCCAAGATGGTGTTCTACTTTGAGAGCGTCACGGACGAGAACCGCGCAAAGATTGCGAAGCATATCGCCCATCTCGGTGCTGTGAGTACTCGCCTGGATGTTGCCGTCTGGCAGGAGTCGGAAAGCTTACCCGAGCCACGTCACAGCGCGAGGAGAAGTTCTTCTCAATTAATATCACCCATGTCGTCACCACCCGGTCGATCCCTCCCTTGAAGAAGACGCAGGATGAAAGCCGGACCGACGGCGATGCCCGAGCAGCCGATGAGCAGCAGCCCCAGACGATCAACCCGTCCCTTTTGAACCGCGCTGCGGGGGGTTCGGCGTCGACCTCACAACCCGTCCGGCGGAAGCTAGTCTTCGACACAGCGACTACCAGGCGGCCGAAGCCACGTAGCACCGACGTCTTGGACCGCGCTCGGGAGATGGGCAAGAAGATATGGTCCCTGGAGAAGCTGCAAAAGATCTTGGAGTATGTTCTGGACCCGAACCCCTTCACGAGCGCTGCGCTGGGTCTTGGCCGTGTCAGTACGCGGAGCACCACCAGGGCGAGTGAGCAGCCCGACCTGGCCCAGGCTCTTCACCATGAGCGTGTCCACGGTCCCTCGGATCGCGACCCTACCGTCTCATCCAAGGACCAGCTTTACACCTTCAAGGGGCCATACATCTACGTGTACGACCTTGACGAGAAGACCCGGCCGATCATGGTCAGGGAATACCCAAAGGCCACGGCGGACGCGAAGGACGGGGAGTGGCCGCAGTTCCGCGTCACGTCGAATGGACGCTGCCCATTTGTTCCTGATGAGAGCTATGACCTTCCGGATAAAGGGAGGCGGGAGCGGGAGCGAGAGCGTACCCGAGCCAAGGAACGAGCCGCCAGGGCTGCTGCCGCCCGGGAGCCCAAGCCTCTGGCAGCTCCTCCGCCCAAGCCTGCGGCGAGCAAGCGCACTCTTACGCAGATGGAAGACGGCCACAACCGGGGCACTGCGAGTGTTCGTACCACCGAGTCCTTTGACCGTTCCCGAGTCCTGAACCCGCCCTCGCTCGACTTCCGCAGCCAGAATGCTTTTATTAGCCATGCGAAGCCGGGCCGTCTCCTGGCCGGTGAGCCTGTGGCATCCGGCGTGCAGCCGTCGAATGTCACGTCAGCGATTCGATCCCAGATGATTTCGTCCACCGGCGGCGTGCTGGGAACAAAGGCTGGGACGAGCAAGGAGATCCACGGACTTCAGCGGCGAGTTGTGCTGCAGAAGGCCAGCACACCGGCCGTCTCGCAAGACCTAAGCTCTCGACGCAAGGCCGAGATGAGCCATGATAGCAACACGTTCGTCCGGTCTGCCAGTGTCAGCACGGCCACGCATCGGAAACTCGATACGGTCGATGAGACGGAGGCGCCGAGGCAGCGGGAGAAGCTGCGGAGGACGGCGAGCGTGCCGGTCTCCCAGCCCAAACAGAAGCGCGATCCGAAGCCGGGGTACTGCGAGAACTGCCAGGACAAGTTCGCAGACTTTGACGAGGTTGGTCCCGTCGCATTTCCATGACTGGTTTCTCGTGTGCTAACTACTCGCCGCAGCACATCGTCTCCCGCCAGCATCGCAAATTTGCCGAGAACGAGGACAACTGGGCCCAACTTGACGCCCTCCTGTCCCACATCACGCGCGCACCCCGATCCCGATATTGACGTGACGTCGAGCATATCCCCTGTTGGTCACGACAGACCGTTTCTGCCGCATTTGCACATCGATACCCCTTGCCGCGTTGATGCTCACCCGCGAGCGTTTGGCGCCGTTCTCCTGCTCCTCTTTCTGGCAACCTCCTTTCCTTCTCGTATTGGCTTGTGATCAAGCCCTGGCATTATTTGCATCTTCCGGTATCGTCCGGCATAGCATGGAGGCGATCTCGGCCAAAGCAAGTATATCTTCTGGGCATTTTTGGGCGTGGGTGTTGGCGGTTTCGGTGGGGCGTTTTGCTGGCATTGTTTGCCTATTGCTCGACAGGCAAGGGGGGACTTGAACGAAGGGCAGAGGTGCGCGAGACGTGGTACTCGTGGTAGCAAGGTGGCGGAGTGGGCGCGGCGAGTGGGTGGTGGCCGATGCTGGGTCTAATGGGGATGAGCATGGTAGAAGTGCCAGCTGACGATGGGCCCGATGGGGAATGTTGTCAGCCTGGCGGTGTCGAGATGCCACGCCGCCGTGATTCGTGGCCGGTGGGTGTACCTACCATATATTATGCTCTATGCATGTGTATACTGTATGTTAGGATTATGAGGAACTACGAGTTTTGGCCAGGATCACAGCACAGCACGTTGGCTACACCTTGAAGTGGGTGTTCCCTCGATAGCCGGGATCTCTACAAGTCTTGTCGTCCCCATCGCGTAGGCCTTGCTTGCCATCTTGCACTCATCGAAGAATCTTTTGCTTCGCTGCGTCACAGCATCCTCTCGCGGCGCCCAAGCACAACTATATGCTCAGCTATCTCGCTAACCAAGGCAACATCCTCAGCACAGCTTGTTGCGCCTGACATTCTACACCCAGCCGTGCCCTCGAAAGCTGACAGCCGCCGGGGGGCCTTTCAATGAGTCTGGACTCTGAGGAAGGTGTCAGGTGGGGGGTGGAGTGGGTGATGGAAGGGGGGGGGGCTGACAGATGCTCGGAGCAGTACTGGGCCAGGTGCAAGTGCAGGGTGGATGAGTTTGTCAACCAGGTGAGGGGACGTACGCATGGTTGGGAACTTGGAACAGCATTATCCGTTCCGATACAATGGCAGTGGTCTCCGAGAATGAGACTGAATATATCCTAGACACATAAACCAGCTTCATTTTGTATTAGTGATACGCCCCCTTTGCACTCAAACTGGTCAAGCATTCGGAGAACCAACATGGAAATCTAACATGCTTTACTTTGAGGAGAACAAGGAAATATCGAGGTTGAAGTACAAGATAGAGAAAGACTCGGAAAGATGACAGGTAAGATCATACGGAAGACAGTAATAGATCGCAATAAGATATATGACAAGAAGCTGGAGACAGCAAGGAAAACAAAGAAAGAACATGCCCCGAAAATGGCATTTCCTACCCTAGATGATTCGGATTACAAGTCTGTCTCGACGTGCTTGAGGCTAGGGAGGCATCGGTACTCGGAGCAGACGTTCTATGGACGGCGCGAAACAAGTATATATTGGACCAGCATACATTGAACAAACGACATACTATACTAGGTAGAGAGATATCTAGCGCTAGTGGAAGGCAGGCCGCCCTGCCCCCTCAACTACATAGGAGAGATAAAAAGAACTGTGATGGCTACCCCTGAACCAGGAGACATTACACAAAAGTGAGGACTGAAATAGGAAACCCCACGCGGGGCTCGAACCCGCAACCTTCGGATTAGAAGTCCGATGCTCGACCATTAAGCTAGCGGGGCTACCAGATGTTGTTTGTTTCGCGTAAACAAACCCCATCATCAGTGAGGAGAGTTGCGCGACAAATGACATGTAGATAACCCTCAGGAAATTTGACCCTCAAGAATGGACCAACATATATCTGACGAGCTATATTGCTGATCATGTTGAGATATCTAACGATATATAAGACTTTTCAACTCTTTCTGTTGTTTTTTGTCCCACCCTTTATCACTTGGTCTACTAGGCGTTTGCTAACCAGGTTGACTTATAGCGCCGGGCAAAACTATGTTTTGTTTCGAAGATCCGTAGAACTAACCTTGGAGTTAAGAAACCCTCGAGGAAAGCAGCTTGCCAGCACCAAGGACAGCGGATGGCTGGCTGAAAAGGGGGAAGCATCTCTAGCTTTCTGATGAAAGATCAGTCCAGTCATCCTGATCTACATAGACGGAGCTTCTCTTAGCTCCTCAGCTGTGCGGGAATTGCCCATCGCGTCTTCGGCCAAAAGCAGCAATGAGGGTTCCAGCACGGAAGCTCTCTTGTGAAAACACCAAAGATTTACCCAAAATCTGCGCTAGGAGAGTGTGTATGGCCAAGAACTAACTCCAGGGCCTGCTTCACATCCAGTCTCCACAGCGCGATGAAGAACGGCCTCACCGTTCCATTGAATCCGGAGCTCCTCGTTGTTGCCAAGAGCGCGAACTAGGACCTGCACTGTGTTTCTGGAAAACAGCACCAGAAGACTAGGGAATCTCCTCTTCGCCCACATGGTGGTTGCGCCTACCTTGAGCTGGAAGAATAGTGGGACGTAGGCGGGTTCCGGAAGATACATTTGCAGGCCCGATGTGTACCCCACACGGACCATTTACATGTAGGCCCACTTTCGCGCCGCGCCTGTCATTCGGCGCCATGCGCCCTCTAAGCTTCGGATTCAATTGCCCTGCACCAACTTCTACGACTCTTACAGCGCAGACAACCACCAGCCGCAGGACCTCCATTTGCACTGGCCTAAATTACAACCCGTACTCCTCATTCTGCGGCTGCGCCGCTACAAAGTCGACATGTCGACCCAACAGCAAGCCGTAATTATGGACACTATCCTCGCCATGAGGAGGACCGTGAAGCGCAAAGCCTACGGTCAGCATGCCCCGAGCAGATCCCGCCCTCCGGCTACCGTCGATTGATGTGCTCTGACCTGGCGCGTTCTGCTTGCAGATTCCGACTCGGACTCGTCAATAGACCAAAACACCAACCGCGGCAACAAGCTGAAGAAGAGAGCGAGATTTGTCAAGGAAGGCCGCCTCACATCGTCCATGGGCCCCGCCGCATACAAGGAGGTTCGTTTCGACACTGCTAGCCATACCATCCGAGGCGGCGGGAGGGACTGACATGTCGCAGGTTGCGGAACATGCTGGCTACCAACGAGCGATCATCAACCACAACCCGCCCCTGATCGACGAGGATGGCTACGACATTGACAGCGGCGACGATGAGGACCAGGTGCAAGAGGCTATCGCCGCAGCTGTCGAGGACAACCCATACTCGTCCGTCCGTCTTGAGCGTGGGTTTTCCATTCTTGTCCTTTGCAAAGTGCTCATGGAGTCGGCACTGACTTGTCATTAGAAATTCTGGCCCCATTGGCCGCCGTCACCGATCTGCCCTCCCATCCGATGCTGTCGCGACCATTTACCTCGAAATCTCTCACAGAGCTGATTGGGCAGGGGCGCAGTCTGATGCAAAAGGAGAATGCAGCGCTGTGGAGAGCCAAGCCGCTGCTCACCAAGCTCGTTGGCGACAACACATGGGCGCCCTGCGGGCTCATGTTAGCAGCTGATGATCGCGATGTACTCCTGTTTACCGACTCGACTAGCTTCTTCAACCGCCCGGCCGCCGTCGCCCCCACTGTCAACGGAGCCCGGACAGCTTCAAAACATGCATCTACAAAGCCGGCGCAGCGAGCAACGCACCTGGACGGGCCCCAGGACGAAGCCCCAACCCAGTTACTCGGCGGCGCGGCGCAGCGGAAAGCCGACAAGAGTGGTATCGATGGGCCAATATTACCTGACGGCCAGGACAGCAAGATTGGTGAAGGGGAAGCTATCGGGGGATCCAGCGCAGCCGAAACCGCGGAACGGTACTCCCACATCAACGGCTACCCGGGACACGACAAAGAAGACGGCCACAGGATGCCAGAAGGAGACAGCTCGAGGGAACCGAACGCGGCCGACGGCGAAGACGTGGACATGGCCGATGGGCCCGGCACCGGCCCCAGCACAAGAGAGTATCGAGACTTGCCCACACCAACATCCCCCGACCCCGACCCCGACCCCGACTCCGTCGACGAGCACTTCATCCACCCGCTCTTCCGGCTCCCCGAGGCGGCGCACCCCGAGCGAGACCTGAGCCTGCCGGAGCAGGAAGCGGAAGAGGTGCGGCGCCTGCTACTGCTCTACGTACAGAAACAAGAGGAGATCTGCCGGGGCACCAATCGGCTGTACGAGGGCCTGCTCAAGGCCGACCGGTTCCGCAGGACGGTGTGGCAGTGGGCCAAGGCGGAGGCCCACTGCGGGCCCAACCGCGACATGTCGGACGGCGAGGACTGGTATGACAGGGAGGAGTGGGGGCTGACGGAGGACCTGAAGAAGGGCGAGGATGAGGTGGAGGAGGATACGACGCAGACGCAGAAGAAGACGCGGAACCGGAAGTAGGGGTGGGGCGGTCTGCGTTTGAAGAGTGTTGGGGCCGGGTTGGGGTTGGGGCGTTTATGGAGTTTTTGGCATCGAGATACCAGCATGTGAGGAAGAAGGCAAACAATAGTAGCGCCCCACCTACTTGTCCAGCTCCATGTTTCTTTCGACAATTTCCTCTCGCCACTCGCCCACCTGAACGCCGTCCACGATTGCGAAGAGCTTCAACCTCCGCCGTCATCGCCAAGTCGAAATCGGGTGGGGAGGGAGACCAGCAGCATTGATTGGCAGCATCCTTCACCTGTTTGGGCTTTTAATCCTTGAACACTCCTCCTATTCAGGTCAGGTGCACACCATATTCACGATGCCTTCGGGCTGCAACTCGGCGAGCCGCCCGACACAACAAGACAAGACCCTGTCGTAGACAAACAAAACCAGCAAAGCGATGCGCGCCTTGGTATGTAAGCAAGTAAGGCGGCGCAACCGGGACCCCGAGCCCCGACGCTGAGTGCTGCTGCATTGAGTTAAGCTTTGCATTGCGGGACTCGCAGTTCGGGTCCCGCCCCGCCTGCGGGCCCCCATTCGCATTCGCTCCTCCCTCCCTGGTCTGTGTGCGATCTGGGGCTTTGGTTATTATAATAAATGATTTTTTTTCTCACTGCATTGGCGCGGGCCCGCTAGCGATTGGGTTTTGATAAAGGGCCCGGGATGTCGCAAGCTAGTGCAGTGCGTGGCTTTTTCTTCCCGTTGCTGTATCGACTGGTCGTCATCGTCGTTGGGCCATCTGACCATCTTTTCTGGATAGACTGACTTCCGTCTCCAGTGTTTGATGTTGTTTCCCGCCAAGATGATCGACAAAGACACCATGACAACCGACACGGAGCGAGAGAAAACCCCCGAGCGGGCCCCGTCCGCCTCCGGGTCCGGCTCGGCGTCGGCCGAGACGGGCGAAGACAACGTCGTGTATCCCACCGGCCTCAAGCTCTTTCTCATCATCGCCTCGCTCTGCCTCGCTGTTTTCCTCGTCGCGCTCGACCAGACCATCATCGCGCCCGCCCTCGGCGCCATCACGGGCGAGTTCGGCTCGGTCAAGGACATTGGCTGGTATGGCGCCGCCTACCTGCTGTCCACCACGGCCCTGCAGCCCGCGTACGGCTCGCTCTACCGCATGTTCAGCGTCAAGTGGACCTACCTCGCCGCCATCTTCGTCTTTGAGGTCGGCAGTCTGGTGTGCGCCGTCGCGCCCTCGAGCAATGCCTTTATCGTGGGCCGCGCCGTCGCGGGCATAGGGACGGCCGGCCTGTTCTCCGGAGGCGTGGTCATCCTGTCCTACACGCTGCCGCTGCGCCAGCGGCCCATGGCGTTTGGCCTGATCGGCGCCATGTGGGGGATCGCCTCGGTGGCCGGCCCGCTGCTGGGCGGCGTGTTTACCGACCATGTGACGTGGCGGTGGTGCTTCTACATCAACCTGCCCATCGGCGGCGCCGCCATGGTCGCCATCTTCTTCTTCTTGCATATCAACCAGACGCGCGACGCCGACCGCCAGCCCGCGCTCGCGAGGATCCTCAGCCTCGACCTCCCCGGCACCGCCATGCTCATCCCGTCCATCATCTGTCTGCTGCTGGCGCTCCAGTGGGGCGGCACCGAGCACGCCTGGGACAGCTCGGTCGTCATTGGGCTGTTTGTTGGGTTTGCCATCATGCTCATCATCTTCATTGCCATCCAGATCTGGAAGGGGGACAAGGGAACGTTGCCCCCGCGGTTGTTCAAGAGCCGGGACATGCTCTGTGCCATGCTGTTTGCCTTCTTCTTCGGCGCAGCCTTCTTCCCCCTGGTGTACTATCTGTGTAAGTGGTCTTGTGTCGGTGGCGCCCGAGCGTGCCCGCTAACCACGTATCCAGCATTGTACTTCCAGGCCATCCAGGGCGACACCGCCGTCGAGGCCGGCATCAAGCTGCTGCCGATGCTGATCTCGGTCGTCATCACCTCGGTCGCTTCGGGCGGCTTGGTCACCGCTGTCGGGTATTACAACCCCTTTGTCCTGCCGTCCATGGTTCTGTTTGCCGTCGGATGTGGCATGATCACAACCTTTGGCCTCGACAGCCCCACCAGAGTCTGGTTTGGCTACCAGGTTATCACCGGTATGGCT